GATCAACTTTATGCCAATAAATTCAAAACTTAGTCGAAAGAGATAAATCTCTTATAAGAGACAGACTGAAAGCTCTCTGAAAAAGAAAGGAAGAAACTGTGTAGTTCTCTACCTAGTAAAGGGCTTGAATCCATAGTTAGAAACTTGTCACAAAGAAAATGCCTACCCAGATGGCTTCACAGAAGAACTATACCAAACATTAAGGGACAACTGCAGGTTTTCCAGAAAATAGGAGGGAACACTTCTGAGGCCAGTATTACTCTGACACCAAAACCAGACAGGCATTACAAGAAAACAATAGACCAATATCTTTCATGAAAATATATACACATATGAAAAATTATAACAAATCAAATCCAACATCATGTACATATGTGTATTTACATATATATGAAGCTAATACTTTGTGACCAAGTATGATTTATTCCAGGAATGCAAGGTTGGTTTGACATTTGAAAATCAATCAGTGTAAATCATTATAATTAACAGATGAAAAATTATATCACATCATCTCTGTATATATAAGAAAATCATTTAATAAAACTTGATATCCACTCATAATACAAATCCTCAGCAAAGAAGAAATAAAGAGGAGTGTTCTATCTTTGAAAAGGAGAATCTATAAAGCCTTTACATCTAATATCATACACAATGGAGGAGACATTCAATGCTTTCCTCTAAGGTCAGAAGAAGGAGAACTGTCTGCCCTAGCCACCTCTACTCAACATGCCACTGGAGGAAAATAGGAAAGGACATCTGTATGGCAAAAGAAGTAAAAGTGTTTATTTGAAGATGATATGCTTCCTACATAAAAATGTATTTCCTATGTAAAAATCCCACAGAATTTATAAAAAGTTACCAGAACAATGACTGAGTTTAGTTAGTTTGCAGGATAAAAGGTTAAGACACAAATAGGTTATTTTGGTTTCATATAATAGCTACACATAGTCCAAAGCTGGAATAAAAATATTATGAACAATATTATGATTCCAATATAAGATGACTAGGGAACAATCTTACAAAGTATTTGCAAGTCTTGTGCACTGAAAACTAAAACACAGCTGAGAGAAGCTATAGGACCTAAATATATGGAGGGATGCATCGGACCCATGGGTTACCAGTCTCAATATTTTTGTGATGTCAGTACTCCCCAGATGGATTTAATTCATAGCTATCCCAGTGAAAACCCAGTTAGCTATTTTGAAGAAAATGACCAACTGTATCTAATATTCATATGAACATGCAAATGAGCTAGATTAGCCAAACTACTGAAAAGGAAGAATGGCCCTAGAATTACACTCCTGACTTCAAGGTTTATTAAGAAGCTTCAGTATTCAAGACAATGTGGGATTGGTGTCAAAATTCCCAGATGGATCAGTGAACTAGAGGAGAGATGGGGGATGACTCTTCCATTGCCCTCTGACCCCCCTATCGTCCCTGGAAGGCTGTTGTGAGACAGAGTCCTATTGTCTCTTGGGTTCTGATGAGCTGTGGGCCTTCCTGCCTCACCCCTTCAGAACAGAGCTGCGGACCCTAAACTGCAAAGCCCAGGTCTAGACTTGGATCTCAGCCTGGGGCACCCTTCCACCCACATTGCCACCATCCAGCCTCCTTTGCTTGGATGTCATCATTTCTGGGGTGTGGGACGGAGTAAGGACCATGAGGAGCTGGCACCTGTAGCTAGTCTTTCACTGTTTACACAAAAAGCGGTTCCTGGCGTCTTGTGTATAATTGAGAAGACTGTTCAGAATGAAACCCACATGTATGGAGTCAATTGGTTTTTGACAAAAGTACAAAGGGAACAGAGTGAAGAAAGTAAAGGGTTTTTGACAAATCGTCAAATTCTGTACACCCCGTTGGATATGCAGTTTTGGACCAGCTGGACACCCATAGGCAAAAATGAGCCAAACACACACTTCACCCCATACCTCACTCTCTATAGATGCAGAAATTAACTCCCAATGGAGCACAGCCATTGTTCTGGAGCAGTCCAGTTCTGCTGTGTGAGGACCAGCCCCAAGATGTTGTCACATGTGGAGAGTGGTGACAGTGACTGGGAGACCAGTGTCTGAGACTGGGGTCCCTGATGACTTCATGGCTGTGGTATGCCACCAAGTATACTTGGTGACTGGGAAAGTTTCTGTGCAAAGGCATAGGATGCCTGGTTGCTGTGGAGATGTCCTCCATGCTAGAGTCTTATCAGCTTCAACCTTATTCTCAGGCAGGGCAGCTCCTGGGAATGAGAGAACTTCCTTGCTGAGATAACCACAGCATTTGACCAGCTTTGCTGCTCCTGAATCTGCCTGAGAATTAGTAACTTTAAACAATGGACTTTCTTGAGTTGCCCAAGGCTCCTAACATTGCACATTGCAACTGTAGCATATAACTGAGGAAGTAGCTGCATACTGTTGCTAACTCTGTAACTTTCATGAATACAAAGAAAAACCACTTGGATAGTCTTTAATCTGATTTAGAGACATATAATAAAGATTGCTGGTGTAATTCTTTAGATCTGCTTCTCCATCAGAGAGCAGCACTCCACCCGACCCCAGTGTTTTATCTTCAAGGTCTGCGTGTGTTGACTCTTTATTTCTTCCAATCTCCCATCACTCTTTGGGGGAAGCTGCTAGTTTGGCCGCGCTGGTCACGGCAGTGGAGGCTGAAGGGAAAAGGCAGGTAGATCCAGGATTGCACAGAATGCAATTTATTGGGGGACTGACTTAACACTTGGATTCCTGCAATATGGGTCAACAAAGGGGCATATTTATGGGTTAGGACAAAAGTGACTTTATCCTTGATCCTGTTTTATCTTAGGCTAATATTAAAGTGCCAGGCACTTCCCTGGAGCCAGGGTCTGGTTATAAAGCTCCATATACAACTCTAGTGTTTTTGTCTATTTATAGTTGAATGGGAAACTGCAGGAAAAATAGGCTACCTTGGGCCATCATGGCAGAAGTGCCTCAATATGACTGCCATCATGTCAAGCTGAATCCACACAGACTTAAATCTAAAAATGTAAAATTATGAAATTCATAGAAGAAAAAAGGAGAAACTCTTTGTGAGCTTCTTGGGTTATGCAAAAAGTTTTTAAATACAACCCCTAAAAGAAAAAAAAATGATACATTGGATTCAAAATGAAGAATTTCTGTTCTTCAAAAGACACTGTTTAGAGAAGAAAATAAAAACCAGAAACTAGGAGATGACATTTGTTCAACACATATGTAACAAGGGACTTTTACCTAAAATATATGAAGAAATCCGAAAAATTAATGAAAAAACCCAAACAACTCAATTTTAAAAATGGGCAAGAGATTTGAACAGACACTTCACCCAGTAAGACACACGGATGGTAAATAATTAAATTGAAAGAGACTGAATATCACTAGTCATCAGGGAACACCAACCCAAACCACAAAGAGCTACTTCTATACCCCTGTTAGAATGTCTGCAGTTAGTGGCTGACCACACTAAGAACTGGTGAGGATGGGAAGCAGACCCTGGGACATGGGTGGTGGGAGTGTAAAGGGCACTATGGAAATTAGTGTGGCAGTTCCTTAAAAAGAATCTTCTTAATCCTGTCACATGTTCCACCCATTCCAATCCTGTGTATTTATCCAAAAGAAATAAAAGTTTATGCCCATACAGAGGGTTAGTAGCCACTTTATTTGTAATAGCTGGAAACTGGAAATGATCAAATGTATTTTAGCCGTAAATGGATAAGCACAGTAGTACAGCCACACCATGGAACAGTACTCCAAGATAAACCGGAAGGAGCTATAGATACACACCATGACACTGATGAGTCTCAGAATAATTATGTCGAAAGAAGGCAGACAAAAAAGAGCATATTCCATTAATATGAAATTCTAGAAACTGCTAAAAAAAAATTGCTGAAAATTGCAGAAAGCAGCTCAGTGGGTGGATGGGAGAGAGAGTGTGGGGCCTAGGAGCTTTTGGTGAGGTGGATGGGATCACCACCTGGGGGACGGCGACGGTTCGCGAATGTGTCCCTGTGCCCACGTTTGCCAAAGCCAGAACCCTGTTTCTTTCGCTCACTCTCCAGAGTGGTGGGGGTCTGAGTCCTGAGTCCCCACGCTGAACCGGGGGGACTCTTCTTTGGTGGCGCCCCTGCCTCCGTGTCCAGGAGCCCAGTAGTCCTGTTGCCCGCTGCCCTAGCCCTCCGGGTGCAGGAGACCTGTGTAATTCGGGCAGTTGGTGGGGGAACAGCAGGGCGACACGACCACTCTGCCTGGGTGATTTCATTTGATCCTCACACCAAGAAGGCAAGCCACACAGTCAGAACCCAAGCCGGGACGGGAATACTGGAGTAAAAGCAAGGTCAACGCTAAGCGATGCCAGAGGGACACTGAGCCAAGTCCTGTACAGTGACACTTGGCCCCGCCGCCTCTGCCGAGACGCTGCGGTCCCCGAGTGGAGGACGCTGTCGGGTCTGCGGTGTGGGCCGCGAACCCGGCGCCGCACAGCCTGGGCGGGGGCGAGGCCCGCACAGCTCCGCTTCCCGCGGGCCTCGGAAGCCCCCGCCCGAGGAGCTAACCATTTATGTCACACTGTGACAATTATTCTGCATAAAATTATCATTAAAAACCCTAATTTTTCAGCCTCCAACCCCGCCAGCGGCCTTTTAGCATTCTCCAGCGCGCGTCTGCGGGCGCGATCAGCGCGCTCATTACCGCGGCGTGGCGCCTCCCCGCGCTCGCAATCAAGCGCTAATTAACGCGCCCGGGGGCCGGCGGCGGGGCGGGGCCTGGGGGCGGGGCCAGTGCGCGCCTGGGGCCAAGTCTGGGGTCCAGGGTCAGGGGTCCTGGATCTGGGATGTGGGACCGGAGCTGGGGAAGGGGCCCCGGGGTATTCGGGTCCCGGGACTGGCGGCCGAGGGCGCGTCCCCGCCCAGGGTCGGAGTCCGGGAGGAGTCCCGAGGCCGGGTCCTAGGTGTGGGTGGAGTCCGGGGCGGCGGCTGTCCCCAGCCCAGGAGCTCTTACCCGAGCGAGGCGGTCGTGCGGCACAGGTGCAGGGGCGCCAAGCCCTCGGCGCTGGGAAGGTCCGGGTCGGCCCCGTGCTGTAGTAGCAGCCGGGCGCAGGCCGTGTGGTCCCCGAGGCAGGCCTCATGCAGGGGCCCGCGGCCTCCAGGGCTGGCGTCGGGGTGAGCGCCGCGGGAGAGCAGGTGTCGCACGCAGGCCGTGTGGCCATGGGCTGCTGCGATGCACAGGGGCGTGGTGAGCTCCCTCTTGTACTCCAGGGTCCAGAGGCCTGGAAGGGGGGGGGGGTAAGGTGTGAAATGATGGGGTTGGTGGGGAGCCTATGGGGTCGCGCTACACTAAGGCGGGAGAAGCAGGAGACAATTGCTTGGCGGTAGGTACCAGGTGCACCTGCAGGGGACACACCCTAGAGTATAGAGGGACAGAGAGCTGTGAGACACACTGAGCAAGACAGAGGTGTAGACAGGGAAGAGACAGAGAAGGAAAGGTTGGGAAGGGTACAGCTGAAACCGAAAGGTTGTGGGGTAGCTGGGAAGGAAGAGGCTTTCCAAATATGGGGGTGACTGAGAAAGCTGGTAAGATTCAAGTAGTCAGAAGCCCACCCCGCCGACGCAGAGGGGGAATCTAAGGGCAGAATTCACATTTTCCAAGCTCCGAATTAGGGATGACCTGAGAGAGGAGAGTGGGCAGTGGAATTTTCCAGAATTCAGCCCTATCTGGGTCAACTGCCAAACTTACCTCTTTATGATTAAGAGAAGACAAACAGACAAAACAAACTGACCCACCTCACCCAGATTGTCCAAGAAAAGCACTGGGAGAAAGTTTAGCCCCCTTGGAAGTGGCTGAGTTTTCGAAGGCCTCTTTGATGTGGCCGTCCACATTCAGCACAATTCTGGTTTGTTTCTCTGCGCTTTTGAGGGGTGTGTGTATATATAGGGTTGTTCTTTCTTGAGGGATGAATGGAGCAGGTGCTATACATTTCACTTCTCTGAAAACTTTGGTGCTTTCAAAAAGCCCGTGGAAGGTTGTTAGCAGCCAGGAGCACTCGTGGAAATGGGGGGAGGTGTCCCTGGTGAATACACATCAAGGATTTCTCATGGCAGGAAGGCCTTCTGATAATGATGGGAGAATCGATACCATGGCCGTAATGAGCTGCAGAGGAGGCCCTTTTTGCAGGCCACCGCCTTCCCAAGACCCATGCTGAGCAGTTTTGAAAGACCACTCATTAATTACCTCCCATATGTGGTGCACAGTTTCAGCCTGCCCCTTGGCCCAAGGGCCCAGCCTGGAGCTGTTGCCCCCTCAGGCGGGGGAGGCAGGGGCCGGTTGTCCCTGGTGTGAAGTGATGGTGGCCACAGGCCCAGGGCTAGGGTCCTGCATGGGATTTGGCTGCCTTTCCCACTGATGTCTGAGTCAGAATTGAAGAGGGCAGGATGGAGGTAGTCCTAATGACAGCAGTACTCTACATTCCTGCACGGGCCCGCTCTTGGTTCTGTGATTGTATTTATTTTCCAGAGACATGAAGTCTGTTTACTGACTTTTGCAGGACATGCTAAGTTCCCAACTCTCCCCCATCAGCTCTGTTCACCCGTCCTTGATTCCTGAGTTTCTCCTTAGACTGATGGAAATGCCATGGTTGGGTATCTGACTCAGCCAGAGGTAGGGCAGCACCTTCCCCAGGTCCTGAAAAAGAATGAGGAGCTTCCAGTAGGCCAAGGGCGCCTGGATTCTAGGGCGGCCCTCTCAGAAGAAAGTCTGAGTTAGCTTCCCATAAATCCCTGACCCTGTTGGTCTCCCACCAGGACGAACATGGATTGAAGATTCTCACTGTGCACTCCCCATGCCAACCGCTCCTGGGACTGTGGGCTGCAGGAGTTGGCCACTGTGAACCTACAGCCTGTACCCAGAGCACTCCCTTCCTCAGAGCTGCCATGGGGGGCTGGAACTGCCCACCAGGAAGTCTTTGTGCAAGAGAGTGCAGAGCAGGTGCACTGTTCAGCCGGGGGTATTTCTGCTTCAGGGAAGTTGGAGAGCTGGGCCCAAGAGCTTGGGATCCAGGCTGCCCCATCTTCCCTCCCTTCCCAGTGTGCACAGAGCCTCAGGCCAGTGCTAAGTCTTTGGGCTGCATTTCCCATCCCTTCTCTGTTGGCAGGCTGTGCCTGCTGTTGGGCAGACGTGCCACAGAAAGCAGCAGAGCTTAGGGACAGGAAGGTTACTGAGGAGAATAGAACCCAGACTTTGAATTCAGACATGTAAGAGATGGGTTAAAATTAGCATCTATTTGAAATTTGAGGCTTGAGCATATGAGTAAGTGCAGGGCCAGGAAGCATGTGACTAAAAAGATACAGGTGGCATCCATGTGTGGTGGAGCTCACCTGACATCCCCACTTATCTGGGAGGCTGAGGCAGGAGGATCAAGTTCTAATCTGGGAAATTCAGTGAGACCCTGCCTCAAAATAAAACATAAATAGGGCTGTGGTATAGCTTAGTGGTAGAGAGCTTGTCTGGCATGCTCAAGGCCTTGGGTTCAATCCCCAGCCTGCAAAATAACACAAACATGGCTCAAGTATTGAAGCAGGTGGCATTCTTGGTTCGGGGCAGGGGCAGGTGAAGGAGAGGAGGCCTGGAGAGGCTCAGCTGGGAGGCAGTGAGCCTGATGGCAATGACGCCTGCCTTCCCTGCAGCCCTGTCTCCTCATGTGGGTTAGAGCTGCTCAGTCCTTCCATGGTGCTCTGCTTTATCCCCTTCTCCCCGTGTGAGGTATAAACCAAATCATGCTGGGTCTCTGGACATGGACCTTCCACATTCCTTGTCTGCCAGAGCTCACAGGTCAGGGGCATGGACACTCGCCCCTGGCCCAACTGGCAGCAGATTCTCAAATCCCCATGTCTGGCAGAGTTGCAGTGGATTCTAGCACATGGGCCCTGGGTAGGGGGGTCCCAGTGCAACTGCCAGCCAAGAAGCCTGGATGTAGCCAGGTGGTCAGCAAGCATCTGCACATCCAGGTGGGGTGGGGAGGCTTCTCTTCCCTTGGGGTCTTGCTTGCCTGCCTGGGCCCAGGTGACCACATCCAGGCATCAAGAGTGTACTCAGACAAATATGACACAAGGACCTGGGGTTTCATTCTCCAGCCTCCCTGGCTTCCAGGAGGAAGGTCTGCTATGCGCCTCTTGACCTTTATGTGTGGGATGGCTGGGGCACAGCTCTCCCTGAGGCTGTGGCAATCATGGATTCATAGAAGGGCCTTCCACAGAGCTGCATGCCAGGGGCCTGACTCTCCTCCTCTGGCTCTTGCCTCCCTGGCTGCCAAGTGTAGGGGCTGGCTCATCGGCATCTAAGCCAGCTCCCTTTTCTAGGCAAGAGGCAGATGGAGCATTATCAGATGGGCATTTCTCACTGGTTGTTTTGCTTTTCTGATTGCGTCTCTCATATCCCATCACCAAAACCCCACATCTTAAAACCCACAAAGACCAAATTTCGTTTACAGATGTCCTTTGCTTAGAGACTCTCCTTAAACACAGTGTCCACTTGCCCAACAAACACACGTGCCCCGTATGTTCCGAGAGTGTTAGTAGCTCCTTAGAAACACACAACTGAGCTTTAAAGGCAGAGGGTACCTGACAGCCCAAACGTAGCTGGGGATTTCACCTGCCACTCCATCTCATCCTTGCTGATCTCAAATACTATGTTGGCATCCTGGAAAAACTGGTCCATGAGAGGCTGAATATGGTCCAGGTCTCCTGCCACCAGTGCGGCATGGTACTCCAGCTCCGGGGACCCTGCTCTAACCTGAGGCTCTTTTTCCATCTTCTGAAAGATCTGAAGCTTTCTTGTGATGGGCTCTGGCCGTCTCTCCATTACAAAGCAGTTGATTTCAGAACAAGTCTTTAGGAGGGGAAAGATGGTCTTGTAGAGTGTGAGCTATTTCTATTGTCATTACTCAATTGTCCTCCAGTTGGGGCCCGATGGTGGTATATTTATAACTCCTGTGGACTCTGATGTGATAATGGTTACTTGATATGACCAGGGTCATATGATCACTGAGATGCCACAGTGCTCAGCCACCCCTGTGACTCTATAGATGCTAGCCTCAGAGAAAGACACATCTGTCTATCTCAAAACTGCTCTCCGCGTGTCTGGGGAAGATGCCCAGCACACACGTTTAGCTGTGATGGACTCTTCTCTTTCATCTGCTGTTTGGGTGGATGACTCCCCAGATGCCTCTCTGCTGCTCAGAGTGTACTCTCTCATAGTTTCCACTGTCAGGAGGATGGAGCTGAAAGACCCTCCCTTGTCGGTGTTCTCCGTGCTGGTTTTGAATGGCTTGGGAACTAAGAATGGTTTCTAATTTATAAATGCTTGGGGAAAAAAAAATCAAAAGAGGACTATTTCCTGACATGTACAATGACAGGAATTCAAATTTCAGTGTCCATGAATACAGTTTACTGGATCCCCTCCGTCTCATTCATGTCCATGTTGTCTGCTGCTGCTTTCAAACTCAGCCTGGCAGGCTTGCATAGGTTTGACAGTGACAGATGGCCCACAAAGCCAGAACAGTTTTATTCTCCAGCTCTTTGCAGGAAAAAGTTGACTCCTGGTCTTGAAGTGGAGAGAGCTAGCCAACCCCTCCCAGCAAAGGCTCATTCGTAATTCTTACTAATACACCATTAAAAAGTAGGCGAGGCCTCTCCTGCCCACTCTGCAGGGCCTCCTTCTGCTTCCTGTCTCACTCTCTGTCTCTGTGGCTGTGGCCACCAGTGAGTGAACATTTGATCTGAGGGCTGCATCAGCCCCTAAGAAGCAGGCCCAGCTGGAGGCTGCAAATGACCAGGCTCTGCATGAGTGTCCCTTGGTGGGGACACCAGGACTTCCCTCAGGCATCCTCTGAGGTGGCGGCGGCCTGTAGTTACTTCCAGTGACTGAGAATATATCCCTAAATGTGCATCCTTGCTCAAGATGAGAAATGCCACAATTATAAAAAAACCAGAATAATTAGTTTTTTTTAAAAAAATTAATAACTAACCATATGTGAGCATTCCTAATCTGAAAATCTAAAATGCTCCAAAATCTGAACCTTTTTGATATGTAATTTTGGATTTTGGAGTGTTTTGGATTCGGGGTGCTCAACTAGTAAAATCTACACAAATGTTCCAAAATCTGAAAAACTCTAAAATCTCAAACACTTCTGGTCTCAAGCATTTTGTATAGGAATAGTTGTTATTTACTACAGTTTTAGTTCAGGGCTTTAAATAAAGCTCTTTTCCCACCTTATATTGTAAATCAAACTATCACACACACACACACACTCACATACTTTATGGCTCTTGCTCATTCTCCCTAGGAAGTTGGTCTGTCCACATGCATCATGATAAAGGCAGGAAGAGGGTCAGGAGGGTTGTGCCTGGCTGAGGGAGGAACAGTGAGGTCTGCCAGGAGAGCTGAGCCCAGGGGGGGTGATATATCCGCCATCCATGCCCTGCCAGCAGGAGACACGGGACCCACGCATCTCGTGCCCATGTGGTGTTGCAATCCAGTAAACAGCTCAGAAGCGACAGGAAGGCAGACGTGAAGTCAAGCTGGAGAGTTCATCCAGGCAGCACGTCCTCCGTCACAGTCAGAATTCACAAGCAGCCTCTTACCCCATGTCCCGTCTCTGTTCTGCACATGGAGGCTGCCGGTGACTCCCCTCCTCTCTGAGCTCCCCCAGAGCTGTGGGCCCCAGAACAAACAGGCTCCTTATTTCTGACAGTAACCTGGTCTCTGGGCTGCCCCTTCCTGAACACCTCCAACCAAGGGAGTCCGGCAGAGGAAGGCGTGCCTTCACCCTTGGCGTGGACTGAGTCCAGGCACCACTGTGGGCACAGACCGACCCGAGGCCCAGAGGTTGCCCACAAAAGGTCAAACCCACTGCTGCGCCACAGAGGATGTGCTGGGGCGATGGGCCCTGTCTGTCTGTCGGGGTGGTCCTCACACAGACAGATTCAGGTACTGATCATGCCATAAAAGCAGAGGCTCATGTCGGTGAGGGACAGCTATGCCTGGGGTCGGGCCGCCTGGACATGAGCCGTACATAGTTGCTCCGTTTTTTAGTAGCAATGTTAGGCTCCTCCGATATTTCATTACTCCAAGCATAGCCGTTGGGCCATTTTTTCTACAACTGATTATTTGTAATTAGATTTCTGAAAGACTTATTCAAGCACAACTGTGTTATTATCATTATTATCAGCACCAGGGATTGAACCCAGGGGCACTTAACCACTGAGGCACATCCCATGTCCTTTTCTGTATTTTACTTAGCGACAGGGTGTCACTGAGTTGCTTAGAGCCTAGCTAAGTTGCTGAGGTTGGCTTTGAACTCATGATCCTCCTGTCTCAGCCTCCCTAGGGGCTGGGATTCAGGTGTGTGCCACCATACCTGGCTCAAGCACAACTTTAATATGACCCTGCTTGAGTGGCATTTCACTTTAAACTGGAGGATTTTTTTTTTTGTACTTGATATAATTTGTTGTGGGGTATTTTAAAAAGGGATGGGGCTCTGAGGGGAGTCCAGGGGAGAGGCCACTCTACGTCCTTCTAGGCTAAATTTAGCTTCCATGTGTTTTTGTCAACAGCTCCCTAAATATCCAAGCTTGATTTCAGTAGTGGGGAGTAGTGGTCAAGAACAGGCTTGGTGCTTTGTGAGAGCTTTAAAAATAGCCCACGATGACAGCACTGCCTCATAAGTGGGGCATGGGGGTGACTCCAAAGGCCTGGCACAGAGTTTTTTTTTTTTTTTAAAGACAAGAATAGATACACTGTTGACACTTATATTAAATAAACAAACCTGAAAACCAACCCTTCCATTCATGTATTTGTTCAATAAACATTTATGTAATCTTTATGTTTCAGGGTAGGAATTTTGGGGATTCAGAGGTGTAAATGACAGTACCCCTACCAGCAAGGATCACTCAGGAAAGAGCAGTGGCCAGGGGACCCCAGTAGACAAGAGTTGGTTACCGTTCTTTCTCGCCTGCTGGGTGACATCCTTTAGGGATTCAAGTGTCACTGTTACCTGACCCAGTGTTCCTGGTTGGGCTCCTCCTTGCCCCCTGCACCCCAGTTTTGCCATCCATACCTTGTTGGTCAAGCTATTTTTGTGTCATTTTTATCGCCTTCATCCCTCAGCTTGTCAAACCCAGGGCCTAGCCTCAAGATGCAACTCAAGTCTTCTCTGCTCTGCTACCTTCATCCACAGGAAAGCTCAGCTTCTTTCAAGAGTAAATATGCATCCGAAGTTGCCAGAATTTTTGAGGGAATTTTGGTGGAACATCAGGACCTGAAGGCTGGAGTTTTAGTTGTCAAATTGGAAAAGAATAGGGATTCCTCAGATTCTCGAGCTTCACATTAGCCCTGGGAAAGTCCCCTCATGGCATTATGGAAACGATGGTCTGGGAATATTTAGAAAAGGACTGGGATCACTTGGAGCTCGGGGAGTCCCTAAGAACATGGCCAGGTGGACCAGAAGAATTGTCTCTGGTGACTTGGTTATTCACTTCCAAGGAGGGGCTGTAGCAGCCATTGTGTGTATCTCAATGTTTAATGGAAAGTGTTATGAAAACTTTTGGGAGAAGTTGAAAAAACGATGTGTCTTTGTGCTGAGCATTCCGTCCCACAATTGTGTAGGAAGACGCTGAGTCCTAAAACTGACAGTGTGTTTACTGTGGGGAGCTGGGCCTGCAGAGCTCCAGCCTGCCCTGTTCTCGCACAGCACTCCCTTTACAGGATCTTAACTACAGCAAAACACATGGGAGACAGGGAACTGATTGGCTAGTTCTAAGAAACATTTTCCCCAGTGGCAAAACAGGCTATGTTCTCATTAAATGCCAGGACACAGACACCTAAAGTACACAGCAGGTCGCGCCGCTGGGGCCTTGTGTTTCTCCTTAAACAGGGTCATCGTGCCCCACAGGAACGAGCCTGGTGTGGGAGCTGTTGCTGTGCTGCCGCCTGCAGCCTTCCAGCCTCCTTGGCTTGGGCTGAGGAACTCTGCATTTAGATTCTTCAGGGTGCGCTTTCCATGACCTCAGGAGAGGGGATCCCAACATCTTTCTTTGGGAAAATTTGGTTAAAAAACTCAACCTGGAGAAATAATATACACAATGCCTCTAGAAGAGTGCCTCAAACCTCGGCCATGAGGTGGACTCGCCCATGAGCTGTAACGATTGCTGGTGCCCGGCTCTGGGGCAGAGAGGCTCTGGGGTGGTGTCGGGCTCAGCATGGCTCAGGACTGCCAGAAACTCTCCAGGTGCTGCTAACGGGCAGCAGAGCCGGGAACCACTGCTCCGAAAGGAAGCCACAGAGCCTGGCTTCAGCCCGACCTTGAGCACATGCAGAGTTGGGTATCAGAAAGGTGGCATGGAGCAGGACACAGTCAGAGTTCCTAAAGATGGTAACAGGCCAGAGCAAAGGGCTGAGTCCATCCACGCCCCGATCTGACATCCAAACTTCTGACACACAGGATCCTGTTTCCTTGTGAATTTTGTGGCATAAGCTGCCGCTCCTTGCTGTGGCTTCTCCTGTTGCTCTTTCTAGATTTTTCTCTTTCTTCTTTGTAAGCTCAGAGTGTTTGGGACTGTGGGTGAGTTGATGTTGGCGCCCATGTTTAGATGGCATAAATGCAGCAAGTCAGGGAAGCTGCTTCACAACATGCAAAGCGTGAATGTGCAGCCAGAGAAACTGTCAGCCAGGTGTCCGCTTGGGT